ACCGTTCTGAAGCCAAGCCACTGGTGACTTAATTGTAGACCGTACATCACCCAGTTGGACAACAGAAGTTATCGGTCTAGCTGATGTAGACGGATTTTCATGTGTCTCAGCGGGACTATCCGGAGGATACGAAACGACAAAGTGGGCTGCTGCTGCTGCTGCTGCCAGTTTAGGGGCAGGCAAATGCGTCAAGTGGCTTGAGTGAGATGGAGATGTAGGAGAAAGAGGAAGGAGGGAGTCAGATGTCGCAGGAGTGGGAGAAGCTGAATCCTTACGGCCACTTGTATTATGACCGAGTTGGGGAGCATTAGACTGAGAAGCAGGGGTTTACGTGAGAATAGAGACCCGATTCTACGCTGCATATGAGTAAGATCATGACAAAGAAAAAATTCTGCCTTCTCTAGGTACGCAGTGACACGCTCTCGATGGGTAAATATTGTGTCAACCTCGAATGATAAAAACAATTGGACTAAGATGGGTGGATTTTTGCTACGGAAGGACAAGCTTTTGACATCGGCTATTTTGTAGTTGAAACCACATGAATACAGGAAGCTGGTCACAACATCAATTGGCCGAGCAGATCGAGGAACATTCTTTTAGCAGGAAGTTCTAAGAACGCTTCTATCACTAGATTCACTGGCGATCAGGTGAACAAGTGAGTCGAAACGCCCACATTCTTCAGACGGAATATCGGAAATGTTCCCGCCAAATAAATGTCCACGAATTGTCAGCAAAGAGCCAAACTTTAGCATAAAGTCATTGCAGTGGTCAAGTGCAGACAAATAAAGCTGCCGACCAATTATAACGAGTGACGACTGACTAGTAATATCATCTGACTTAGATTTAGGTAAAGCTTCTGACTTACGCTTAGTTAGGCCATGCTTACTAACAAGAGCCGAGAGCTTACGTCGACCAGTGACTTTTGGTCTCATCTTGTCTCGAGGCAATTTATGATTAAGAAAACTTCTTGCAGACAAGCTGACTGAATTTCAGCTAGGGGCTAACGATGTTTAAATAAATTACAGCAGTTAGAGAGAAATCGGATGCACAAGATGAGAATTTCAGAGTGCGATTAGTGAACAACGTGCTTAAACTAGCAAAACTCAAAAGGAGATGGCAGCAGGCAGTTCTGAGAGAAGAGGCCTGTATTTAAGGAAATTCAACCAAAAAAAACAGGTACTAAAATCGTTAGGTCTCACAGAAAAACCACTAAAAATAATATCCTCCACTTATCTTCAAATTTAATACCAGCGGCTTGACCTTGACCAATTGATAGATTGTTCGATTGACTCACGTGATATTAGTTGACGCTAGGTGGCGGGAAGCCTAAATTAGGTTGGGGGATAAATACCTTAGGGCATTTTACGTATGAATTATTTGCTAGATATATAGTAGGGCTTAAATAGTTAACGAATACGCAGGACCGAGAAATATTTAGGAGTATAATTGGAGCTGCGGTGCTTACAGGTGAGCTGGAATGTGAAAAAATGGTAGATCTTAGAGAAGGTGGCGTACCCCTAAACAGAATTGCATTACCGTTCTTTTTGCTGGGAGTCAAATCGAGTTTGAAATTCGCACCGTTCGGACGCTGTGCTACAGTTTACTAAACTTCACACCTCAATTTTTATCGTGCATGTATCTTTTTTTAAAAACTTCTGCAATTATTCCGCCTAAAAAATTATGTTGTTAACTTAACAAAACTCTAACATCGCGCTTTTTTGGCTAAACAGACACGGAAAACAGATGAATTCAAATTGCGGTCGGACTAAATGAGTTTTTTAAACGTTTTTTCCTGAGTTCAAAGGAGACGGACAGTGCCCAAGGGGCGATATAATAAACGTATTCAATTCTATTCTGTGTTGATCAAGGAAAACTTTTCAACAAGTATTTGTATGCTCGATTTGACTATCACTAGATTCCTAGGGG